CCCTACTTCTAAACAAAGAAATCTCATAAACACCTTGTGCTTCTTTATGGAGCTTATCTTGTGACACTGGAGATGGTTATGTTTTTAGCAACTCAGCTTTTAGAAAAGATACTTTCATTGTAAACTGTTCATGAAACAGATTTAATAAGTTATTCAGACATTATCAACTACTCGGGATTAAAGCTGTTCGTTCTGTATAGGGCATATATGTGAAGTCTAAGCTTTGCTTTCCTAACACAGAACTTGTTCAATGTGTTTGAGAATTTCTTGAGAGATTGAACTTCACTGTGAATGTTCATCTTAGGTATTAAAGGATTATGTTGTAATTCGGATAGTTTCATAAAAGCTTTCTTCTAATGACTTTTATACATTTTCTGTGTTACTTTGCACAGAGTAGGAGAATTACTGAATTATTCATCTAGTTGAGACTTTGCCAGGGAAGTTCTTGTCACAAATGCTAATGTTTTCTCCTTCACCTGTTTCCATTAGAAGTTGTGCCAGTGTTTTTTTCTGAATGTCACACTCAAATTATTTATTAACATTGAACAAAAGATGTGAGTTCTGACTATTCACTAATTCTTAAGCGGCTGCCTGAATTTAATGCCTCATTTGCCTAATGCCTTTATACCTTATAAACACCCTAATCTAGTAAAAGCTGTTGGTGGATCTTGTGTTTTCTTAGAATTTCAGTTAAAAATCAGTAGTGGCACAAATCTATGAAATATGCTTCATTCATTCAAGTCCTTCCAAACCACCTCTTCAGAACACAGAACAAATGTCCTCCCATAAGGTTCTTCACATGAGGAATTAAGATGTTAATTTATCTAATTCTCTTTACTTTCTTGTTCTTGTGCTTAAGACAGCTTCAGTGATTAGGGGCCTTTTGTATTATTGGGCCACTGTCTTCCACTGATGAGCCTGAATCATTAAATCCTCACAGATCCATACTGCTGGATCTCAGTGAAGGTTTCTTCCTAAGTACCTTCTGATTGCTCAAATAAGTTGAAACTATCTAAAAAAGCTAGCAAGGATATACAAGAACTAATTTAAAATAAACTATTTTCCACACCTTTTTGAAAGTTGGCAGCTTGACTTCAGCGTGTACGCAGATGTATTTGTCAGTTTGTACTCCTAAATGTTCCCAGATACAAATGAACCTAACAGGAACTTTGAACCTTGAAGAAAATGTCATTTTTTCCTACCTCCTATAGATCTACTTTTTGCAAACATTTGTATATATGCTGCTCTTGGAGACAGATTTAAAGGCAGCCTGAAAACCTTTACTAGAACTTGTGTTTTCCTGTAAGTATTGCTGTGTTTGCAGGGAAGTTTATCACTAGGGATGGGACAGGATTCTCTGTGTTAAGTGTGCTGATAAACCACTCCGTCATGCCAGCAAATACTGTAATAATGAAGAATTATTTATTATTATTTTAAATCACCAAAGCCCTTGTCAACATGACAACTGTTTTTTTGCTCTCCTGCTCAGTTTGATCAGATGAGGGCTCATAGAGACTAATAAATTAGGGTTTCAAAGAGTTTTACTGGTATAAACTGTTTTAGACACATTGTTCAGTATAACTGCCCTTGTAAAGGCCCACAGGAAGGGTTTGACTTTAATATCTATTTATTGGCAATGATACCCAGTGCCTGAATTCAGATTTCGTATGGATTTTGCTTTGATCTTCCCTGTGAGGATGCTGAGGCACTGACACAGGGTGCCCAGAAAAACTGTGGCTGCCTTATCGCTGGCAGCGTTCAAGGCCAGGTTGGATGGGGCTTGGGGCAAGCTGCTCTAGTGAAAGGTGTCCCTGCCCGGAGCAGGGGTTGGAACTGGATGAGATTTAAGGTCCTTTCCAATCCAAACCATTCCAGCATTGTATGAATATTTTATGTCCAGTAGCATAAAACTATTGTGACAAGCTGAAGGTATAATAATAAGGTCATAACTTAATACACTGAACTAAATTAAAACCCCACCAAAGCTTATCAAATAAACTTCAGAGTAATTCAATTCAAAGGAAAAAATAGCATTTAAAAGCTGCTTACATCTGACTACCACATCTGAAGTACTCTAAAGTCATCACACCACATAAAATAGTACTGGAAGCAAATTAGATAATGAAATAAAATAGTAATATCAAAAGGAGTTCTGCGTTGTGAAAGGTCTGAATAGCAGGATTTTATCCCCTGAAGCACAAAAAACTGGATGACCTTGTAAAAGGCCTTTTCTCCCTTTGTATCTCCATGCACGCAGAGAACTTTAACATGGAATTAAGGTCACCAGGTTCCAGATCTCCTTATACAATTTATTATACACATGAAAAATCAGGCATCACTCAACAACCTGTTTATCTTCCCTCAGAGTTTCCCCACCCACGTGTGAGCAGGGAATTGTAAAAGTGTGATGTTTGGGTAGAAAGGAAGGACTTGAGCAAAATTAGTTATGGTAAAAATTAGGTTTGCTTTTGGAAAGCATCCGGTAACTGAAATGATTTGGTTTTATGTTTTTAATAATATGGCATATATCAAACATACTGTGCAAGTTGGAACACACGCTGCTCGTTCAGGATGTTCTTCCTGTAGTCATTTTAAAAGATAAAAAACAGGTTTAAGTTTTAGTTACCAGTTTATGCTTGGTAGCAAGGAAATAGAAGGGGGAAATATCAGACGTTCAAACTTATGTATGTCAGGCAGGGTGTATTTTAAATATAATCTATATGAGTAAATTGCTCTCCTCTTTTTCTCCAAATTATTCAGAATTTCTGGAAGTACTTTGGGTTTGTGCTCATTTTAAGTGCTCAAACAGAATTTAATTTGGCTTAGATTTTTGTAGAACCATGCCCTGAAAATGTGGTTTTAGATGGTGTGAGCAAACTGATGCAGTCTTGCTCCCTGTCCCATTCAGCAGTGGCCTGTCACAGGGGGGAAGAGCATCAATCTCCCAAACTTCCAAGTGCTGCCTGGCAAATCTCTGTTCCTGTGGCTTCCAAGCCCTTTTCTATAGTCACAGAATCCTGGTATGGTTTTTGTTGGAAGGGACATTAAAGCTCACCCAGCTCCCACCCCTCTTCATGGGCAGGGACACCTTCCACTAGAGCAGCTTGCTCCAAGCCCGTGTCCAACCTGGCCTTGAACACTGCCAGGGATGGGGCAGCCACAGCTTCTCTGGGCACCCTGTGCCAGCGCCTCAGCACCCTCACAGGGAAGAACTGCTTTCTAAGATTTAAGGAATTCTGTTTCGTGGAGGCAAACCCATCCCCTTCCGATCTCTTTTCTAGAAGTCCAAAAGGTTTTGTGAGTCCTTTGGTCGCCAAAAAGAATGAGCAAGCAAACAGGTAGCTTGGTTTTAAAACGTAATACTGTGCATCACATGGAGGAGAATTAAATGAGGGGGTTGGGGCCTGTGTTTGGTGATTTCAGACCAGTGCTGCAAAAGTTCAAGCTACAGGAAGAATTGACTTTTAATGAGGACAGGTCCATTGTCTCAGTGTAACCTGCAATTTTCTGCACATGTTTTTAAAAGCACTTTAAAAAGATACCATTTTGAAAAGGAAAGACTGTAGCCCAGAGCCTTTTCAGCCTGAAAAATGTGTCTGGTCTGAGCTTACAAAGGGCTCAAAGGGAACTTCCTGTCCTTAGCTATTTTCAAATGAGGGCTTCCTCTCATTTTTAATACCTGCAACTAATTAATCAATTAATTAAACACAACAATTTAATTAATGGATGTGATTAATTTTAATCACATCAATTAGATATTAAGAATTAAGTTCATACAAACCTATGGTGCAGTATCAAATACATAATATTCATCAAAAGTAAGGATGGCAACGATACTGCATTTGGTCAGGACCAGCTCTTTCTACCTCTGTATGATTCATCTGAATTCTGTTTACTTGCCAATTGTTTGGTGTTTTGGTGGTTTCTTGTATGTTTGTGGGGTGTTTGGTTTGGTGTGTGTCGTCCCCCTGACAGCATTCATCCTGATTCTTGCTATTTGTCTTACAGATGCTCAGATTCGAGCTTTAGCGATCAGTTCCTGTCGGGGGGTAGAGATGGGAATCAGTTTTTGCAGCTAAATGAAGGTAACTAAATGACTGAATAAGCTTGACCTAAAATACAAGTTTAATTGTTTAGTCTAATTTTTACTGCAGCTTTCTCTCCTCCCTCCCCTCTTGCTCAATCAAGTTTTATACCTCCTTTAGAAGCCCTTATTTTTGTGGTTACTTTTCGCCGTCAACATTAGCAGCTAAAGAAGCGAGCATCTGGGACGCGGCTCAGCCCCGTTGTTAACCCCTTCCCCTCGCCGAGGGGCTGACGAAACTCGCCCGGGTACGAGCACAAGCCTGAGCCCGTGGGGCGGGACGGGGACGATCACCGTAGCCGTCCCCTGTCCGGGAGCCGCTGTTGACAGGGTAGAAGAAGAGGAGGAGGAGGAGAAGGAGGAGGATGCAGTGGCCACCCTGAGGCAGGAACGGCTCCGGGGCGTTACCTCAGCCCGGCGCCTCCGTTTGAAATCAAACCGCCTCCGCGCTCCCCATTGGCTCCGCCTGTGCTCACGTGACCACCTCCCGCCAATCGCGGGCCAGCGCGCGCCTTTTCGAAACCCTTTCCGTCCGTCCGCCCCCCCCTCCCGTCGTGTTTTTCTCCTTTATGTTTTTCTCCTTCCGCCACTTCAAGCCGAAAGAGTCCGGTCGCCGCGGGGCTCCTCTCCCGGCGGGCTCGGTGTGTGTGTGTCCCGGAGCCATGCCAGCTGTCAGCAAGTGACGGTGATGGCAGCGGCCTCTGCGGGGGTGGTGGTGGGTCCGCAGCCGTCTGCCCGCCGGCAGTGCCCCGTTTCGGCTCGGCGCAGGGATACAGCGGCGGGGAGGGTGCGAGGGGCCTGTGAGGAGGCCGCTGGCGCGCGCGGGAAGGCGCAGTCTGACAGGACCGGGAGGGTGGCGGGTTGGGGTGGGGGGGGGTCAGAGCCGCCTCCGCCGCCACCACATCGGGCCCTCGGCGGGACGGCTCCGCTCCGCCGCAGGTAGGAAGCGCTTGAGGCGGTGGGGGAGAGCGGCTTCGTGGCGAGGAAGGGCTGTCCCGGGGGTGTGTGTGGGGAGGTGTGGTGGTGTCAGGCCGGGCGGACGCGGCGTTGGCGCTCAGGGAGGTGTTGGCGTTGAGTTGGTTCACCTCAGTGGCTGTCCGCTTCCCGACTGCCCGCCCGTCCGTCCTACCGGGGGTTGCTGCATGGAGCTTGGGCTTGTAACAGCCCCGTGAGCTCGGCTTCTGCGGGTCGTGTCGTGTTCTTCGCTGGCTGGCGGTGGTGGAAACTGAACGGGGCGGTTTGGGTAAGGGAAGGTGAAGAGTGCCGGTTTTTGTAACGCATACGTAAAGGCTTTCCTTAAGGGTGCTGTCATATTTGTCCTGAGGTGCTTTTGTCGGGGCTTTTTTTTTTCCAGCACGTGCTTTATAGTATGAAACCGAGCATAAAAGTTCAGAAGGATCGCTCTTAACTGCATTTAGTTTCCTTGTGTTCAGCTTGCCACCTTCGAGTACATAGCGTGCTTGGTGTGTGTTTTCTTGAGGTTCGCTTGTACTTCGTGAAGGAAGACGTTCTTCTTCCATGTGAGGGTGCTGAGGCACTGGCACAGGGTGCCCTTCCAACACAAACCATTCTATGGCACACACGTATATGAAGGGATCTGGGTACCAGGCTGAGCAAATGCTGTAGGATGTGAAGGTGTTTTTTTTCGGGGTGGGGGGGGGGGGTGTAAGTTAAACACTGTTCCTTCTGCTTTCCTGCTATGTGCATGCAGAGATGCACTTGCTACCTCTGCTGTACGGACAGCCTACCAGATCACAACAAACCTTTCAGCTGGCTTCCCTTGAGGTCATGCCACAATCTTCTGCTTCAGGATACAGTTGTAGTCAGTTGGTTTCTGTTTACTTAAAAATCAGGTCTGAGAATGCCTATGTAGGTAAGAGAATGTGCAATATCTAGGTGAGTGGCTCTACAAGAAAATACTTGTGAGTTGCTTATGGGGTGAAATATACCGTGCATTGCCTTTGGGTTTTTGCGAAGGCGTTGCAAAGGTAGAAAATACCTATTGTCTGTGTAAAAGTGGTATAACTGAGTTGACGTGAACCAGTTTCTTCTGCCCTGTGTGTGGTTAGAGTGGTGCTTCATGGTAAACAGCTCCCAGTTTTCCACACAGGCAAGCACATGTTAAATGACACAGATTCTCTTCGGTTGTACATTAGAGAATGGTTCTTGAACAGAAGTAAGAAGCATAATGACACTGATTTGCTTTCCTAAATGTGTAACACGCTATTTGGATGGGTAATTTTGATGTTCCTTTATAGGTAACATTCCTTACATTTGAAGATGACGCTCTTTGGGAAAATTGTTGTCATTAAGCGGAATGGGACAGATGGAATTAGTTTTCCACTCACTGCGAGTTCTTGTTTATTTGGAAGGTGAGATTTAGTTGAGTACTTGCATACAGCAAAATAATATTAATGATTTTTCCCTGCAGATTATATCTTTTAATGCTTATTTGCAAAACCCAATGTTTGTTTATTTGAATGATGCACCAGGGGAGTGAAGGTGAGATTGGACTAAGGTTAATTGTAGACTAGAAAACTGAACTTAAATTTTCATTGCTGCTTTTTGTCCTTTACTTGCCAGAAGTATTTTAAAGTTTCTGGCCAAAGGAAATCTGGGGAAAGGATTAAAAGCAACAAACAGCTGACAAGCAAGTGATTGTATTCTTTTGTCCCGAGGCAGTGTTCAGGTAACTGATGAGCGAAGTGAGGTTCATGGCTTCTGTTTGACCATCTTCATTACAGCAGTGCTCGTCTCAATTTTTATTCTCTTTTTTTTTTTTTTTTTTTTTGGTTCTCCAAAATATCGGTAATGCAATCTATCAGCCAATATATAGATGTATTATTAAAAATCAATAAGAACTTATGCTTCATCCTCCAGTCTTGAAACTCAGTTTGGCTTTTGACATTTGAATGATAGATAGGGTTTTGAGCTTGATCCAGCTATTTTACATTAAAAGCTAAAATCAATATATCTGAATGGTATATGTGGAGACTTGGCTAGATGATCTTGCTATAAACAGGCTGTAAATAAAATGCTTTTACTTCTTTTAAACTAAGTCTGTTCAGCACTTTACTGATTGATTGATATCTTAAATAACTGTAATTATTCGGTCCAGAATCAGATTCCATAGGGAAAGTCTATGGAAAGCACTTCAGTGTCCATAATACTGCTCTTCGGCTTCAGCAGAGCTGCCCAGACAGGCAATGGTACAAACATTAATTTCTGCCTGCTGCGCCAGTGAGATGTGTCAGGTAGTTCAGTGAATGTTGCCTCTGGTGTGATCGCTGATGTGTTTGCTCCTGAAGACCTACAAGATGTCAAAAGCATTAGAGATTAGCTTTAAATAAATAAATAAGTCTGGATGCTTAGAAACAGCTTTTACTTCCTAACAGCTATTACGAAGGTAGAAGTGGTGAGACCAAAGGTGCATCCACCTAATACTCTGTGTCTGAGGGTGCTCAATAACAAGTTCCGAAGTGCAGACTTAAGAGCATGTGCTAGTATTTTCTGAAGATATTCAATAGCTCTTCTGCAGCTTGTAAGTTGGGAGAGAAGTAATCTCAAACCAGCAGGTATCTGTTGGAGACATGTCTCTTTTGGCTTGTTGTGAACAGCTTTTTTAGAACTTGGCTATTTCATGTGTTTTTTTCTGATAGGATTTTCTGGTGTTACAAAAGTGTGAGCTGTTATTTTTTACCACACTTAAAAGACTTGGAGAGTTCATTTTCCTCATGCTTCTAAATATAAGAAAGTATCATGCTGCTGTACAATTATTAGCTGAAAAGATGGGAAATCACCTAATTCTATAGTAGTCAGATTTTATTGTCTTTTGTGCGTCTTGAAACTCAAATTGTATTTTCACCCACAGGAGAACAGAGTGCGATATTCGCATCCAATTGCCTCAGGTCTCAAAAGAACATTGTAAAATTGAAGTAAATGAAAACAAGGAGGTAAGATCCACATATTCTAATGGCACATGTTTTGCATCGTTGCATCTCATCAGGCTACTGAAGTGTTTGTTCTGTTTTTAGGCAATATTGATTAATTTAAGTACAGTAAATCCCACGCAGCTGAATGGGGCTGGTTTCCAGCAGCCTGTGACTCTGAAGCATGGTGATGTGGTAACCATTATTGATCGGTCTTTCAGGTAAGTGCCAGTGACAAACTGTTTATGCCTCTGTCCCAGAATTTGTTCTTCAGGCAGGCAATGTGCAGAGCTTTGTGGCTGCAGGCTCTTCCTTCTGGATGAAGATAGAATAATAGAATGGTTTGGGTAGGAAAGGGCCTTAAGATCATCTAGTTCCAACCCCCTGCTGTGGACAGGGATGCCTCACACTAGACCAGGTTACTTCCAACCTGTCCTTGAGCACTGCCAGGGATTGGGGCAGCCACGGCATCTCTGGGCACCCTGTGCCAGTGCCTCAGCACCCTAACAGGGAAGAGCTTCCTTATATCCAACCTAAACTTCCCCTGTTTCACTTTGAACCCATCACCCCTTGTCCTATTGCTACTGTCCCTGATAAAGAGTCCCTCTCCAGCATCCCTGTAGGCACCTGCAGGTACTGGAAGCTGCTCTGAGTTCTCCACGCAGCTTCTGTTTTCCAGGCTGAACAGCCCTAATTTTCTTAGGTACAGAAGATGGCTGTAGAGAAGTGGGAAAAATTAAAATTTCCTTTTAGGATATTAAGAAACTAGATTAACTTGTGTTCATTTCCTATTTTTATAAAGATTTATACACCTTCAGAAGGCAGGATTGCTTAAAGATATGTTTTAATCAGCTTTATATTATGTTAAGCTAAAGGTAGAATTGTCTAGAGCCATTCTGATTTTGTTTCAAGGGTAGTCAGTTTTGGGGGAAAAGTTAAGGAGCGTTTTGATGCAGTTAAAGCTTCTAAAACTGACACATGTGTTGGGAGCAGCCAGCTATTGCCAGGTCATTTATCTTAACAATGGGTATTTTGTCATCAGCTACTGGATAAAAAAAAAAGAGTTGTCTTTTAAAATATCTCTTCCAGGTTTGAATATCCTCTGCAGGCAACTCCAAGAAAGAGGCGTTCCCGGTCTCCGAAAGATGAAACACTGCAGGTAATTCTGTGGGGTTGTTTGTTAACAAGTGCTTTTGTATTAGTAGTGATATTCTATTTCCTTGTTCTGTTTGCTTATTAGGAATAATTGTCCAGCCATAAACTACTTTTCTGTTTTAAACAAATAAACTTTCAGATAAATACTTATGCTTTAAAAATTAATACTTTATTAATTTCAGACTTGTAAATTTTCTGGTAATAGATATTTCATACTCTATGTTGTTACAAACATAGGTAAGCTATTAAAAATCCATCCTTAGCTTTACCAAAGAGAGAATAGGATGCAGGAAGTGCAGTGTAGGCACTGGATATCCATGAGGAAGTTTACCCTATGGCATAGAATCACAGAATAGTTAGGGTTGGAAAGGACCTTAAGATCATCCAGTTCCAACCCCCCTGCCATGGGCAGGGACGCCTCACACGAAACCATATCACCCAAGGCCTCATCCCACCTGGTCTTGAGCACTGCCAAGGATGGAGCGTTCACAACCTCCTTGGGCAACCTATTCCAGTGCCTCACCACCCTAACAGGAAAGAATTTCTTCCTTATATCCAATCTAAACTTCCCCTGTTAAAGTTTGAACCCCTTACCCCTTGTCCTATCACTACAGTCCCTAATGAAGAGTCCCTCCCCAGCATCCCTATAGGCCCCCTAATGAACCTATAGGCCCCCTAATGAAAGAATGCATAAGCATTCTTTCCTTCCAAAATAATCTGTTCTATGTGCTTGTGCACTACTATAGTGTTAGAATTTATCGATATCAAACTATCTTTTAATGACTTATTTTCATTAGTTTATTTTTTTTTTTTTCTCAGCAAAGTTTTCCCCCTTAAAGGGATACGTGTTAGTTTGTAACCACAGTGGCTATTGAAAGATGTTCGGTGTGTGTTGTAGTTCTCTTACTTGAGTTAAAAACTTCCACTAGGTCTGGTAGGAAGATGAGGTACAAATGTGCTGCTATATATTCTTCTTCTTCAGCTGCTTTTGGAGCATGTTTCATCATTTGATGATGAAACATGCTCCATTGATGATCATTTGATGAAACAAGATTTAAACTCTTGCTGTGTAGGGCCTCAAATGTTCTGAAATTTTGGAATACTCTAGGATTTCACTTGAATGCTTTTGAGCAGTAAATAATGCATAAAGGTTTATAAATGTTGTGTGTTTCAATGTGCAGTTGAAAGCTAAGCTGTAAACTGTTGCTCTGCTGTAATATTGTACAAATTTACAGGTTCTTCATGTTCAGCAGGTGGCAGAAGTGGAATTACAAACTTCAGGATCTAAAAGCCTTCATGCTTCAGGTTGGTACCTGTTTTATGGAGGCTTTGCTTTTTTCTTCCCCCTTCACTGCATTTGCTTTCAGCATAAGAGGAAAAACAAGGTTGAAAAGAGCAAAAGAAAAGTATTTTAAGACTTTTCAATCTGAACACCATATACTTTTCTTTGTCAGTGTGCTATTTGTTTATACTTAGATGCTGTGATTTACCAACACTCAAACAAGTTTACCTGCATCTTGACGAACAAATCTTAACAGTTTGCTTGAAATTGTCAAAATCCATATATTTTACTTACGGATTTGTGCAAATTGAGTTTAAGAAGATTAGCGTTAAGAAGGGAATTCTTAACTCTACACCAGCTCTGCAAATGCAATGCAGGGTCAGTTGAAACTGGTATATGAAACAGTTGCCTATTACATTTTACTCATCAGTGGCATCAAGCAAACACAACGTGGCAAATCCACTTTTGGTTAAAATTTAACTTGCAGTTCTCTGGCCTGGAATACAGGTGGATCCCTTTTGAGCTAATATTGCGTAGTTTCATGTAGTCTTACTTAACCAGAAATAATTTTGGAGTTATATAGGAAGGGTTAGTTTTGCTAATTCAAATACGTGAATAGCTGTTTCATGTAGACCCAGTAAAAATCATTTAAAACTTCTGTATGGTTCTAGACCATAGACTGGTTAAGTGCCAGGACTTTGCCTTCCCATCCTTTTTAAGTAGTGCTGAGTTTCATGGGAAGATAGAAAGTTTGTTACATGGAGGCTATTTATCTACAGACAAGTTGTATTTTCTTGTGACAAATGACTGTTCTAGTGCAGAAAGAACAGGTTATTTCAAGGTGTTCCATTGCAGTGGGTGGTTATGAGCACATCTGTATTCACAGGAGTTGGGCAACAGGTTCCGCAACACTCTGCTATGATACAAGTCTTTGCTTTGTTGTTCTATCAACTTTAGGGGAACAGCTTGTCCGCTTAGTAAAAAAAACTTACTGATGCATTTATCTACAGCTGGGTAAAAGCTTTCATAGGAAGGTCTGATTTCCTGTTCTTTCACATGTCTTTCTCCCCTCACTCCTTTTCTGCCTTCCTGGAAGTTAATTGAGAGGCTTTTCCTTGTACGTCAAAGTCCATCCTTTCACCTTTATATGTATTCTTTCCCATCACAACTAAGAAAGGTCAACATGTATCAGCAGTAGTTCAGCAGGTGTTCATGCTGACATAAAGTAGTGTTGAGAACTAGATCTTGTTCTATAGATGTATAGATCTCAGCTTCTTGTGCTTTAAAAAAGCCACATAAGAAGGAAATGGAGCTGTTTGAGCGAGTCCAGAGGAGGCCGCGAAGATGCTGCGAGGGCTAGAGCAGCTGTGGTCTGGAGCCAGGCTGAGACAGCTGGGCTGGGTCAGCCTGGAGAAGAGAAGGCTCCTTAAGGGGGAGACCTGAGAGCAGCTCCAGTGCCTAAAGGGGCTGCAGGAAACTTGGAGAGAGGGGCTTTGGACAAGGGCCTGTAGGGACAGGCCAATGGGAATGGCTTTAACCTGCCCGAGGGGAGATTGAGATGAGCATTTCAGCAGTTCTTCCCTGTGAGGGTGGTGAGGCGCTGCCACAGGGTGCCCAGAGAAGCTGTGGCTGCCCTGTCCCTGGCAGTGTTCAAGGCAAGGTGGGAAGGGGCTTGGAGCAAGCTGCTCTAGTGGAAGGTGTCCCTGCCTGTAGTGGAGGGTTGGAACTGGATGAGTTTTAAGCTCCCTTCCAACCCAAACTAGCCTGTGATTCTATATGGCGAAATGACCCCTCTTATCAGATGAACACTAAGCTTGCATATACTCCTTGCTCACAGAAAACACAAAGTGACGTGTGCTACCTCAGGCTTCCTTGGCTGCAGTTTATAGATCATAGGACACATGGCGTCACTCGCTATGTCTCATCTGAGACAGCTCTGCTTTATCTCCTGTCATTACCCTATAGAAGCATTGCCGTAGTTCAAGCAGTATAGTGCCTATTTAAATGCAGAACAAAAACCAGGCTAAATTGTGACAAACTGACCTAAGTGGGAGTTAATTCTATGCTCATAGTTGTTTTTTTCACAGCCCTGAAAGGTGGATACAAGCCATTGATTCCAAAGAAAAACAAAACCCTGAAATATCAAGTGTCTTACCTGAATAAGGGATAAATTTCAGATTACAACTTAAAGTGAACATTGAGATACTGATGTTTCTATTACAAGAGAAATTGTTACTGTTAACACAGCTTTATTTACAGTACTGTATCCTGGACCCTGTTGACTATCTTGGTAGAGGAAAGGAAGGTATTTTTATCCATATTTATGGAACTTACATTTATAGTTCTGCAATTTTTACGTAACTCTGCATCTCTGTTACTTTATGTTTTGCTTTGCTTTCTTTTCAGGTAATGCTGAGTGCAAAGGAAAAGATGCCAATGAAAATAAACAAAGTACAGAGGAAAATATTTCCAAGGCTTTACCTGTCAAATTACAAACACCCAAATCTTCACACAAAATAGATGAGTCTGCTAAAAAGGAGAATTCAGTGTCTCCCTTTAGTAAACTCTATGAAAAGCTGAAAAATGAGATTAAAGTGCAAAAACCTCTTCCTCGGGGAAATGCAACTCAAGAAGCTGCAAAAGCAGATGGGAAGAATGTTCCTCTAGAACCAAGCACTCAGATTTCAGTGTTAGGTTGTGTTTCTGATCTTGGAAACCTGTCTAAAGAACAAGAGAGTGGCAGAAGTGAAAATATTGAAGAATGTAAGGTAGAAATCAAGCAAGATGTAGTCACTTCAGAGTTTAACCAGGTTTCAGCTGTCAGAAGTGCTACCAAGAAGAGATTTATCAAAAGTCCTCGAACATCCATTTCAAAGGTGTCAAGAGATACTGGTGAAAGAAGCCACTTACAGGATAATAAGGAGCCAAGTACAGCAGGGAAGTCTGGGAGTACTAGAGTTACAGCTAAACCCACTCAGGAGAAGGATGGAAGTGCAGTGTTTTCACTGAAGCAGTGCTCTATAGAATGCTTGGATTATGCAGGTGAAATGAAAACGCAGAGCTCTGGAACAGCCTCGGATAAAACAGCACAACCAGGTAACACCACAAATGTTTCTGAAGTTGATCAGCATGTTCTGTCTACACCGACATCCAGAAGGAAGAGTCCTCGGTCTATTTTTGTATCACCTACCAGGGAGAGTATTGGAATGAATTCTGTAATCACTGATACTCCAACACCTCGACGGCGTGTGTCCCTGAAACGTAGGTCTCTGTCAGGAGTTGCAGCTGAAACTCAAAGAGAAGATTCACTATCCATAAGTGACAGCCTCAAACAACTGCCTTTGGCAGAAAATAAGTGTTTGAAACAAAGACGAAGCAGTAAGCAGCATACACCAGGAAAACCTGCTGAAGTGCTGAAAGAGATCTGTGACCAGGCAAACATTGTGAACTCAAAAGAAGAACATTTGGAACCTCCTGCCTGTTCTAATTCCAGGAGTCCCAGAAGAAATAACAGGGAGAGTCAAGAATTACCAAATAAAAGTGTCCATTTGGACATACTGGCTTCAGAAGAGCTCACATCAGAGCTGGCATCTCCTGCTAGTCACAAAGGTGGCTCTGGCAGAAAAAGGGGTGGGCCAAGAAGCTCTGGACTGCTCACTGGGAAACCATTAGAGACAAGTGCTCCCCTAGAGCAGCACAATGAACCTACAGACAGAAGAGACAGTGGAATGAAAGAAGAGCAGACCACCAAGGAGGATCATCAGGAGCAAGGTTTGGAAGATGCTGGAGTAACAAGACCTCGTAGATTGTCATCAAAGAGGAGGTCTTCTGGAGGCACTGCTCTACTGAAAGACGCTGAAGCTGTCTCAGAAATGAGTATTTCTGACCTGTTGGCTGGAGAAGAATCAGGTAAACCTGTTTAATCCCTCCCTGGTTGGGTTTGTAACTGAGAAATTCTCTTCCTAGCATTTATATGAGCATTTTCCTACTAATGTAAAATGTAGACCCCCCCCCCCCTTGCTGACATACTGCTTCTGAAATATTTATCATGTAGTTACAGTTGATCATCAAAATACACAATAATGTCTATAAAGAGTTTGCTCCACTGAATCTGTTTCTCGTTAAGATAAATTACCATCTGGTTTACTTCAACTTAAAAATGCACAAGGAAGTGCTGTTTTTTTTTTATGTGGGTTAAAATGTTCATTTGGAGTCTTCCCCATGAGGGTGCTGAGGCGCTGGCACAGGGTGCCCAGAGGTGCTGTGGCTGCCCCATGCCTGGCAGTGTTCAAGGACAGGTTGGAAGGGGTGGAAGTAACCTGGTCTAGTGTGAGGCATCCCTGCCCATAGCAGGGGGTTGGAACTAGATGATCTTAAGGGCCTTTCCAACCCAAACCAGGCTGTGATTCTTAAATATGTTTTCACTTGTTCTTTTTAGGCAAGACAACAAAGATGTCTCCAAAGAGGAAAAGTGGTGAAGTGTTGCTTCAGCCTTTAGGAAAAAGGAAGAGAGTGTCTTTTGGTGGTCACCTGAGCCCAGAGCTTTTTGATAAAAGCTTGCCTCCCAACTCACCTCTTAAAAGAGGTGCCATTCCTGCCCGGCTGAGCCTGCCCTTTGGAAACTCGCCACGTGCTGTCCTCAAAAAGGCTCAGGGATTGAAGCACTCTGCAGTCCAGGTAAAGCGTAAGACTAATCAAGTTGCTGAGACAGTGCAAGCAGAGTATACGTTCTAAGACTTCTAAAAATTAACTAACAAGTAGTAGTGAAATTTTTTAGATGCATGTTGGGATATGGAAAGTTTAATTGCAAGTTAAAAAGGTATTTGAAACCAGCAAACTTCAGTCAGCATTATTTTAACTTCTCTACTGTAGGAAAGGGCTCAGTTTGCCTTTTATATCTACCTGTCTTTACCCAGGAGGTGTGTATGTATTCAGCTCGCATGCTATCAGTCATTCTCATGCTCTAGCGATAGGACAAGGGGTGATGGGTTTAAGCTTAAATGGGAGAAGTTCAGGATAGATCTTAGACAAAAGTTCTTCCCTGTGAGGGTGCTGAGGCGCTGGCACAGGGTGCCCAGAGAAGCTGTGGCTGCCCCATCCCTGGCAGTGTTCAAGGCCAGGTTGGACACAGGGGCTTGGAGCAAGCTGCTCTAGTGGAAGGTGTCCCTGCCCGTGGCAGGGGGTTGGAACTCTTCCAACCCAAATCAGTCTATGATTCTGTGCATATGCAGGAGTACTTTTTTGTGTGTCTGTGCTTAGCAGCAGTGTCTGAGTGTCTGCAGGCTCCAGTTACCACAAATAGGAACAAGCAGGACAGGTGTTTGTTGTCCAAGTCTGCAAGCTCCTGCCATGTGGTTTGGTGAAAAGCTGGAAAGCATTTACTGTGTTTTAAGCTAGTTACAATGTGTGAGTTGTATGTGAGGTAAACAGGACTGTTGAGTAAAGTAGAACAATAAACTCAGTTAATTTATTCAATTGAATTTGCATATATCTTGTCACACTTAAAAGGTATTTAAGGCTTTATGAAATGATATTTTATACTATTGTACTTACCTGTCAGAGACGTAGATGAGTGCTTGCGGTCCAGCTACATGCAGTAACATTTGATCTGTATGTATTTATTTTTTCCCGACCAGGAACTTCCTGAACATTTGCAGAAAGAAAAATTGTCACCAAAAAATCTGCCAGCTCAGAAGTCCCCAAGTGCCTTGTCCCCTTCCTCTGGGAGGGCAACACCTAAACTGCCTCCAGGCTCTCCAGCACCTTACAAAAAGGGCCGTTTCTCTGTTTCTCACGTCATGGCACCACTACCAATTGTAGAAGAGAGAGATGCTGTTCGAGAAGACATGAATACAGAGGAGAAAGATGGTGCCTTAGTGAAAACACCTAAATCTTCTCTCGTTAACCAAAATGATAAACCCTTTTTGATGGCTACACCTGACAAACTAACCAGAAGTGCCCAACTTGCTCTGAAGGTTGCTTCCATGAAGAGTAGAAGTGGGGCTGTAGCAGTTTTCAATGCAAAAAGAAGAAGTGGTGCCTCCAATGCCAATCTATTAGGTTTGTTTCAGCAGTTAATCCTTAATATTCATTTTAATGTTTTAAGTTGCAGGAAGAAAACAGAAGTTGGCCTAATTTGTTATGCAGAGGTCACCAAATGCTTGGCATAGCTGCTGAGGACTGTTGGACATGTTGGAAACTGAATTGCAAAGTGTTACATTTTTTCATATTATTAAATTACTAAAACAAATATCAAAGCACAAATCTTAATGTTCAGAAGTTGAAAAATGAAAGAATTAAGGTTACTTGCAATAGTGATCCTTCAAGTTCAAGTAGTGTTGAACTAAATCAATTTGTATCAAAGGAGTGGTAAATGCCCCATCCCTGGCAGTGTTCAAGGCCAGGCTGGATGAGGCTTGGAGCAGCTCGCTCTAGTGGAAGGTGTCCCTGCCTGTGGCAGGGAGTTGCAACTTGATGATCTTAAGATCCTTTCCAACCCAGTCTGTGATTCTATGATTCTATAATTACATCCATTTTCATTTGAAAACATGCATTTCATAGCAGTCTAGCTTCAGTTTGTTTTGTTGGTGCCTTTTTTTTATACACAGTTCAGACCTTTGTCCGTGGATGGGACTAAACTGTTTGCAGTGGTATATAACAGATATAATTAGTGAATAGGATGATAACTGGGTGTTAACCTGAAAATTTGAAGTTAAAGCATTTGAATTTGAATGTCACTGGTTTTAAGTAGTTTTTATAACACTGGAAACATTATGATAGGGGAGCTGTGGCTCTTGAAACTTTGTCTTTGAAGAAGACATCTTATGGAGAGTACTTCAGAAATATTGGTGATATCATTTTCCCCCACCTCTCTGTAATGTGTAGAGTAGGCTTTCATCTACAGTTTCTTTTGCAATATGAATAGACCACCAGAGTTCTTAAAAATTGTGGATGTCTACTTAGTATCCAAAATAAAATTGTGTTTCCAATGCTTTTTCAGGTAATTTCTTGCAGGCTTGGTATGTGTCTGTATCCCGAACACCCTGTCAATGACACCTTATGAAAGTGCTTCTTATTTTCAGACTTTTCCCAGCTTGCACAGCAGTTCTGACAAGAGAATAATAAACATGAGGAACAGCATTCCCCTTTCTACCTTTACTTAAAAAAATAACAGTTTCTTTTATAAGATCCCTGTCTTCTCATAACCTGTTTCTGAAGCAAACAAGGCAGATGTGCCACGAACTTACAGCCTCATTTATTACACAGCTCTAACTAATTCCCCAACTCCTCTGCTGTGGACAGAATGATGCTGTGATAAATGTAACCTTGCTTTGGGAATTTCTGATGTATGTTACAAGGAAAAGGTGATATAAAAAAGACTATGGAAAGCCTGTGTAGGTATAAATGCTGTAAGCAGTATAAATAAATAGTCTCCTGACTACGATGTTCTTTGGGAAGGTGGTGAAAGAAAAGCTGGATATGTTTCACTTAGAAGCCATTTCCCTGATGTTAAATCTCATGTCCCACCAGGGACAAGTGAAGATATAATAATAAAAGAGACTTAAAGGCTCATGGCAAGTTTTTATTGGGAAAAATTATTTCCTTACAAAAACAGTGAGGATGGAATTGGGTCAGCATTTGGTTTTAGGATCTAACATCTTTTTGACACTGCATGAAGCTTGTTTTGTTGAGGAAAGCCACACTGGGTACTTGGACATTTGTTAAACCTCAGCTGAAATTGGAGCTTTTTCACACAGCACATTTAAGTATAGCTATTGTCAGGTGATACCACCACTTTCCTGTGCCCAACAGCAGCAAATCCATTGGAATGATAAATAATTGTGAACTTCCATTTATGCAGGTGAGAATTAAAGTGCTTATTTCTCTTTCCCTTTCTAGTGGCAAAATCTTGGGCAGAAGTGGTAAAATCAGGTGTTGCAAGACCACAGGCAAAGGCTGTTAAAAAGAGCATCCGAAAACGAAAACTCCTAAAGAAGACAACCCGGTCACCCAAGGTATCCTTTTAAAATTCTCTTTGTTTTTGCATAACCACAAAGCAACTTGTAGGTATTTTGCTACAGAAACTAGAAGCTTCTGAGCCTTTAATATGATGTGAAATGGGTGTTGATAGCTTTTTCACTGTAAGAAATGTAGGTTTTATTTAAAAGGGATCTTCCTTTTACTCACCTTTGTTTTTCTCCTTTCTCTTTCCCCTCTGCAGACTCCAGAAAGTAAAATAAGAGGTCATTTTAGCACAGGACATGCAGAGTCACCTGCTACAATAGTTGTAGGTAGAGCTTATTCCACCACAGTCAGAACAAGTGGACGTGTCCCTAAAGTGATGAAAAATCCTATCTTGAAGCTAAACATGAATATGGACGAAAGCTTCACAGGTAACTTCTTAAAGCTTGTTGCTCACTCTGCCAACTGTGTCCTTCTCTTGTCAAAGCAAATGCTTATTTCTCCAAATCTCATTTGTAGGAGTGGCTGAAATGTTTCAAACTCCAGAAAATCTGGGCGGAAAAACGTTACCTTTGGCTGCTGTTCAGAAGATGGATTTCACACCAACATGTACTTCAGGGGATCTTTCTGAGCTGCACACTCCTGAAGAAACTGGTATGTTTGTTATTTGAAAAGCAAGGGACTGTTTAGATATATTATGGGGTAGGAGTCACAGCCTAGGTAGAGTTGATATATTGGGATGAAGCATCTTTCAACCCATAAAAGGAACTGTTGACTTTTATTATGTATTAAAAGACATTTTTGCAGATCCAGTTAATTTTTTTAGTAGGTATTCTTTTCCCATTCATTCCAATTGAAACTTCAAACGGTGGAAGTATTGCCTCAGGTAAATCTTGGGCTGAAGCATGGCATGTTCTTGGCCAGTTGTCTACATCTAAATCCAGTGACGAAGTTTCACAACAAGGAGAGGTTATTGTTCAGTATTGGAGAAAATGGTCGAGGGACCTTGACACGCTTGTGAGGTGGGCTGATGCCAACCTGATGAAGCTTAACCATGATAAGTGCAAGGTCCTACACCTGGGTCGAAGCAATGCCAGGCACAGCTACAGGCTGGGCAGAGAAGAGATTCAGAGCAGCCCTGCGGAGAAAGACTTGGGGGTGCTGGTCGATGAGAAAATGAACATGAGCCAGCTTCAGTGTGTGCTTGCAGCCCAGAAAGCAGCCGTATCCTGGGCTGCATCAAAAGGAGCGTGACCAGCAGGTCGAAGGAGGTGATCCTGCCCCTCTACTCTGCTCTTGTGAGACCTCACCTGGAGCATTGTGTGCAGTTCTGGTGTCCTCAACATAAAAAGAATCTGGAACTGTTGGAACAAGTCCAGAGAAGGGCCATGAGGATGATCAGGGACTGGAGCACCTCTTGTATGAAGATATGCTGAGAAAGTTGGGGCCGTTCAACCTGGAGAAGAGAAGGCTGCGTGGAGACCTCAGAGCAGCCTTCCAGTATCTGAAGGGGGCCTATAGGGACGCTAGGGAGGGACCCTTCATTTTAGGTACTGTAGTGACAGGACAAGGGTAACGGTTAAAACTGAAGCAGGGGAAGTTTAGATTGGATCTAAGGAGGAAATTCTTTCCTGTTAGGGTGCGGAGACACTGGAATGGGTTGCCCAGGGAGGTTGTGAATGCTCCATCCCTGGCAGTGTTGAAGACCAGATTGGACAAAGCTTTGAGTGAGATGGTTTAATGTGAGGTTTCCCTGCCCATGGCAGGGGGGCTGGAACTGGATGATCTTAAGGTCCTGTCCAACCCTAAGCATTCTATGATTCTATGATACTAAAGTGTCATGTTGGAAAGAGTTGTATCAAGAAGCTACTTTGTAGTGCATCTTTTGCTAATAACCTTCCATCGAATCATAGAATAGTTAGGGTTGGACAGGACCTTAAGATCATCCAGTTCCACCCCCCCTGCCATGGGCAGGGACACCTCACACTAAACCATGGCACCCAAGGCTCTGTCCAACCTGGCCTTGAACACCGCCAGAGATGGAGCATTCACAGCTCCCTTGGGCACCCCGTTCCAGTGCCTCATCACTGGAAGTAAAGAACTTCTTCCTTATATCCAATCTAAACTTCCTCTGTTTCAGTTTTAACTCGTTACCTGTTGTCCTATCACTACAGTCCCTAATGAAGAGTCCCTCCCCAGCATCCCCATAGTCCCCCTTCAGATACTGGAAGGCTGCTCTGAGGTCTCCACGCAGCCTTCTCTTCTCCAGGCTGAACAGCCCCAGCTTTCTCAGTTGCTTCAAAACACAAAGGGAATTGCAATGAAAAACTTGTACCACAGGAAGTTTTAGGGACAACAGAGAACTAATTTTTATATCAGATTAAATAAGAAAAAGTATCCCAGTTTTGATAGTCACTTTTAAATGTGTGCTAGTTGCAAATCAGTTGTTGATGATCATTTTTGATTTGTAGAAGGCTCTGGCTGATTGAATTCAGTTATACGGTATTACATTGCTTGGGTTTTCTGCTTAATTCTCCTTCCAAATTACATACATCTACTTATTTCAGGAGAGATGATGGTGTCACCATTGAATAGTTCAGATGCTTCAGAACACAAACAAGATAGTCCAGGCATCTGTCACCTTTTGAGAGAGGAATCACCTTTGAAGTCTGTATTTGATGCAATAGCCACAAAAACTCCTGAAAAAAGAAATGCTATGCTGGAAGAAAATACTGGTGGGAATAGTTTGTCAGTGAGTCCAGAAAAACAAACATCTCGAGGGAAATCAGGAAGTAGAAGGAGGACTCCAAAGCAGAAGTTGGAGCCAGTTGAGGTCGTGTCAGGCGTCAAGCAGCTGTTAAGGACCCCAGAGCAAAGGTCAGAACCAGTTGAAGCCTTATTGGGCATCAAGCAGCTCATGAAGACCCCAAAGCAGAAGCTGGAGCCTGTAGAGGCTTTGACAGGCATCAAGCAGCTCATGAGAACCCCAAAGCATAAGTTGGAGCCTGTAGAGGCCTTGTCGGGAATCAAGCAGCTCCTGAAGACACCGAAGCAGAAGTCAGAGCCTGTAGAAGCTTTATCTGGCATCAGGCAGCTCATGAAGACCCCAAAGCAAAAGTCGGAGCCTGTAGAAGCTTTATCAGGCATCAGGCAGCTCATGAAGACCCCAAAGCAAGAGTCAGAGCTTGTAGAACCTTTATCAGACATCAAGCAGCACCTGAGGACACCAGAGCAAAAGTCAGAGCCAGCTGAAGTCCTGTCAGGCATCAAGCAGCTCATGAGAACTCCAAAGCGTAAGTTGCAGGCTGTGGAGGCTTTATCAGGCATCAGGCAGCTCATGAAGACCCCAAAACAGAAGGTGGAGCCTGTAGAGGCTTTGTCAGGCATCAAGCAGCTCATGAAGACCCCGAAACAGAAGGTGGAGCCTGTAGAGGCTTTGTCAGGCATCAAGCAGCTCATGAAGACTCCGAAACAGAAGGTGGAGCCTGTAGAGGCTTTGTCAGGCATCAAGCAGCTCATGAAGACTCCAAAACAGAAGGTGGAGCCTGTAGAGGCTTTGTCAGCCATCAGGCAGCTCATGAGGACACCAAAGCAGCAGTCAGAGCCAGTTGAGGTCCTATCAGGCATCAAGCAGCTCCTGAGGACCCCGCAGCAGAAGCCAGAGCCAGTTGAGGTCTTGTCCGACATAAAGTTGCTCGTGAAGACCCCACAGCAAGAGTTGGAACCTGTTACAGATGAAAGTGCCTTTAAAAGATTGCTGAAGGCTCCAGCACAAAACAGGCAAGCAGTTACTTTAACCAAGAGAACTCCAAAGGTGAAATACCAGCCAGTAGAAGACATGATTGGGGTCAGCCGCATTTTCAAGACACCGAAGGACAAAGCTGAACCCACGGAAGATGTGTTTGATATTAGTAGATTAGTGAAGACTCCAAAAGAGAAGTATCAACCAGTTGATGATTTTGTGGGTCTGCAAAGGCTTATGGCAGAGCCCAGGCAAAAATGCTCCGACTCTGAAGTGGACTATGCTGGAGTTATGGAGATGTTTGATGCACCAGAGGAAACTGAGGTAACATACTTTCTTTAGCTTTTGGAAAGAATGCTTTTAGACTTTGAAACATGTGGTTGAAATGCATTCTTAGGCCTCCTAGCATCGTATCTTGTGTATGTTACAGCACTTCAAGTATGTTATGCCCATAATCCCTGGAGGATAAACGATTTTCTAGAAAAGCATTCCATGTTGACTTGAGAACTGTAAAGATGGCAGTCTTAGTTCCTTGGCAGCTTTGTCCAGGTGGATGCCCTCTGCTAGAAAACACAGCTTATTGCAAGTTTGAATCTGAACACTTTATTTTTCCTGGTCATTTGTTCCTATTGTGCTTAAAGCACCTTTTAAATTGCTTTAAAATTATCATCAAGTTCTTTCTCAACCATCCTTTTCCATAAGCAAGGGGTATGGTTGGTTGGTTGGTTTGCTTCATACCCTATAGATTAAATTTTAAGCAATCTTTTTCCATTCCCATCCAAAGATTTTGACAAAGCATTTTACCACATGGCCAATAGGTTGCTCTCTACGTCCCTAAGTCTTTCATTCATTGCTTCTGGAACGCATGCCTATTTTATAGACATATATATATATATTTCTGTGTTAATATGTATTTTCTTTGAAGGAGCCCTGTGTATTTAGTTACTGAGGTTGCTCTGGGTCACCATTCTGACCTTAGAATTCACAGCTTCATCACTGGTCATTTGTGAATTTTTAGTATTCATTTTTACATTCATTCCAAGATCATAGAACCGTGTAATAGTTTGAGTTGGAAGGGACCTTAAAGTTCATCCAGTCCCAACCCCTGCCACGGGCAGGGACACCTTCCACTAGAGCAGCTTGCTCCAAGCCCCTGTGTCCAACCTGGCCTTGAACACTGCCAGGGATGGGGCAGCCACAGCTTCACTGGGCACCCTGTGCCAGCACCTCAGCACCCTCACAGGGAAGATCCATAGGTAAAATGCTTCATATCACTGGACTTTGTGCTCATAAACGGAGAACCAGTGCAAACCACTCAAAATTATTTGGCCTCAGTACCCCAAATTCCTTTTGAGCATTCATTTAGACACTCGTCAGGCATTTTATGAATGACTTTTTTAGCTCTGTGAAGTGTTTGTTACCTTTCACTTTAAAAACTGCTACACTGGCTTAGATGGCCAGTATTAAGTTTCATAGATTTATTTGCAAATATATTTATATAGATACAGTTATAAAACTGATTTCATTTTTAAAGAAAAGTACTTGGTAAGAGTTCAGATATTTCTATACACTGACTTTGTATTGGTTGGCTCTAGTATTTCTTGTTTTCTCAGACATGCATTTGTTGATTAATGTTTATTTCCTTAGGTCAAATCAGTAAAAGCTATGGATTCCAAGCAAGAAGATGCTGCACCTTTTTGTACTGATTCCACTTGTAAACGTGGTAAGTGCAAATATGTTAACTAGAGAAATAATGGATATAGAAGTTAATATATGTTGTTATGAAGTTTTAACGTATGTTTTAGAAACTCCAGAATACATAGCGTGAAGGGTCCATAGCTCATGGAATTTGTACGGTCATCCCTAATGAACACCAAGTGCTGGCAGAAGTAACAGCGTAGTAGTCTGTTGATGTGTTAATGTTGGCTTCTCTTTACATACCAGTAAAAAACCTGATGTGAAGGTCTCTGCCTAAAGTTATCTTTCTTTTAAAAGACTTTCAAGAGCACAGCTTAAACCTAGGAATGCTGCCTATCAAATGAACCAAGTTGGTCAGGAGCCTGGTGTTTACCTTAGGAATTGGTTAAAATCTGTTTTTATTTTTGAATGAAGAATAATAAGTGTAATTTGTTTAAGCAAGATGACTTAGGGAAGTGTTCTTAGGAATATCAAAACTCACAGATCTTTGATCAGGTGTAGTAATGTTTAATGTTTGTTTGTGCTTTTTTTTCCATGTAAAACTTTGAATGGGGAACAAAACCTGGTTTAGAAGACATAGGAAATATTTCAGAAGGTGAAGATTCCCAGCAGAAGGAATCGGCTAGTGCGGGCCCGTCTACCCAGAGAAGAGGGGGCAGACGAAGGAAGAGAGTACCTCCTGCTTCAGCAAAGCACTGCAGAAGGGAATTGAATTTAAAAGAATTGCAGAGTGTGGAAAAAAAGAGCACCCAAGAGGAGATGGAAGCTAAAAATGAAGGAAGAGGAAGGGGAACCAACCATCATATACAAGCAGAAACTGTTTCAGAGCCTCCTGTGCAGGAAAAAGTTGACGTTTCATCTGTGGAACCACATGGAGCTACTCAAAGACCCAGAAGAGGTAAAAGGAAAGACCAAAAGGAGTTAAAACATCCAGGTGAGAATCCCGAGACTTGTGACAAAGATTCTCCTGTGCTGCAAGAGGAAAAACAGGCTTTGCAGAAATGTGGCATCAGTGACATAGTGGAAACTGAAGATGGTCCAATCATAAAGACAGGAAGTGCATTGAGTAGCACTGATAATGAACAGTGTCAACTGCAAACAGGTTTAGAAGAAACTGAAAACAAATCTAATGAAGGTGGTGTAGAAGACAGTGAAGAAATACTTCTGTCACCTAGGAGCAGAGTTAGAGGAGTAAGAAAAGTAGCAAGCCCAGAACCATTGATTCTGCCTAAAAGAGGAAGAAGAGGTAGAAACGACCAAGTTCAGCAAGCTGCTTCAGTGGCTCTTCACAGGACAACAAGGAAACTTCGTAAAGACCCATCAGAAAAGATGCTACAAAGAGAAGAAGAGACTTTTGTCAAAGATACTGAGGCTGCCACAGCAGAAGAACCTGAAAATGGAACTAAACTTGAAATAAAGATACCAGAGAAAAGAGTGAAGTTTTTAAGAAGTGCTGGAAAGTACTCAACTGAAGTAAAAGCAGACATTGGTAGGATGGCACTTGAAAATATACAAACTGTTCAGAAAACTGAGGAAACTTCAGCTGAAGCTGGTATTGAACCCATCAAAAATGTGATAAAAGCATCTCAGGGAGATGAAACAGAAAATGCTCAGGAAAATACAACAGAGGCATCTCAAAAATTCAAGGTAGAGCTGCCTTCTGGAGAGACAAACAGAAAGTCAGTCCCTGCAAACAGAAATGCAGTGAAGGAAACAAGAACTAGAAACAGGAGAGGCAAAAAAGACTCCTTGGAGAAAAAGTCTGATGAATTTGCCAAAGATGTAAAGAACCTAGAACTAATTGCTCCCCAAATCAAGTCAGAAGTGGATGAATCTCGTCTCCAAGATTCTGTGGGCTCTGTTTGTGTCAAGAATACCTACCAAGTCATGAAGGACCAGAACACCCCAACTGCCACACCAGAACCTGCTGCAGACAGTGATGGTCTTGCTCAGAGCCGTCCAAAGCGGACAAGAAATGACCAAGGAATAAAAACCACAAAGCAAACTGAAACCCTGCAAGAGAATGAAGCCCACAGTCATGGACTGATATGTCCAAGAGGTAGAGGTAGAAAAGTTAAATTTGAACTTGAAGAAGCCAGTTCCAAAGCAGTTGAAGGAAGCAGGAGTTTACCTGAGGATGGCAAAGGAATGACTGACAAAAAGAGTCTACAAGAGACTTCAGAAAATCCTTCTTCACAAGTAAGGAGGAGCAGAAGAAAACAAGCTGATACTATTCCACAAATAGCTTTTTCTACCCTTATGGAAAAACAAACATTAACTGCAGAGCATAGTAAAGATGAGGCTTCTACAAAGGAGCAAGATTCAGCTTTGGAAGCTGCTCCCTCTTCAACAGAAGACATTCCACTGAGACGAGGGAGAAGACGAGAGGTTCCTGCAGCATCACAAACATCTCGATCTCTTTCTACCAGAAGAAGATGTGGGTTGCTGGAAGGTGATGATAAAAAAATGACTGTAAGAGAAGATCAAAATCCAGCTTTGGGAAATGAAACTTTGCAGGCAAAAGCAAATGTATCAGTAAGAGACGAAAGGGAAAAGATTGATCTGGCAGCAGAGGCAAAAAGTTCATCTCCTCTCCAGAGAAAGTGTGGCTTGTCAGAAACTGATGGTAAAGGGGAGGGCACCTGTGAAGAACAAAATGTGCCTTTGGAGACAGTGTCCTGTGCAAAAGAGAAGCCATTGGGAAGGGGCAGAAGGAAACAAACTGCTCTGGCATCACACACAGCTACTTACATTCCTCTTAGAGGAAAACATGGTTTGCCAGCAGACAATGGTAGCGAAGAAGCCCCTAAAGAAGAGCAAAATGTTCCATTAGAAACTTCTGATTCTTCTGTAAAACAAAATCAACTGAGAAAAAGCAGAAGGAAACAAACTGCCCTCTTGTTAGAAGCCACAAGTTCTGCTTCTCTTGAGGGAAAACAGGGCTTAGCAAAAGAAAGTGGTAGAAAGACTAATCTGAGAGGAGCAAAAAAACTGCTGTTGGAGAATTCTATTTCCCAAGAAAAAATCAATCCTTCAAAAGGGAACTCGAGGGAAACAATCACCACAGAGGCTGTTAGTTCCACCTCACTTCAGGCTTTGCCAGAAGAGGGTAAGAGTGAAACTCCTGAAGAACAACAGAGTGTACTTTTGGAAGTAGCTCCATCTGCAAAAGAAAATCCATCAAGAGTGGGCAGAAAGAGAACAACTTCTTCCACATCTAAAGAAACTAGTTCCGCTTCTCTCGGGGAAAAACCTGTCTTGCCCAAAGTCAGAGGCCAAAAGAGGATTCTTAAAGAAGATAAAGGTGCATCTCTAGAAAATAACTCATCTCAGGAAACCACAAGGCAATTGAGGAATAAAAGTAAAAGGGTAGAATTCAAATTGGAGGCAGCTACTTCTACTTCTCACTGCAAAAACGGTGACTTGCCAGAAAATGGCAAAGCTTCAGAAACTCAAGAGATGTGTTTGACATCCGCTGGTTCTGAGGGAAATCATCAGTCTGGAAAAGGAGAAGAGATTACCCCTGCACCACAGGCAGCTCCCCCTTCTCGCAACAGGAAACGTCAGTTGCCAGCAGATGATTTGCCAGCCAAAAAACTAAAGTTAGGTGAGACAAAAATTTCCTCTCCATTTTCTAAGTGTAGCTCAGTTATCTATAGGTGCAACAATAACATGTGACAGTTTTAATGTTGCTGGGGGCTGCCATGTTCTAGTGGAGATAGAGAGTAGGTCTTCAATATAGGAGGAAGACTTCGGTGAATGGGATCTATGTTCTCATAGAATCATAGAATGATTTGGGTTGGAAAGGGCCTTGAGCACCTACACAGGTGCTTACCCTTTACAATTAAAAACTTGACTTTCCAGCTCTGTCTGGACCATAAAAAACCTATTAGATATTTATTTTTGCAGGATTTTCCTTTGGTGTTGGGTATGTTTTAGTTTTACATATCAGTAGAAGGAATTTTAGCTAAAATGGCAGCTAATTGGTTTTGGTGCTCTCATTAATGTTAACCTACTTTCCGAAATAGCTGTAAGTCCTAAGGGATCTATCTTAAAGGATATCTTAAAGGATGTGCACAAGTATGGGATTTGTAGCTGGCTTGGTGAATTCATACATGTAATCTTTGGGATGTGGTCACTGGGGACATTGCCATTAAAAACAATGTAGCTGAGGGTTGAATTTTGTAAAAAATATTTGATTTATGGTACAAAAAACTTTGTTTTTGTGTGCAAATAGGGAATGATGGAAATCCAGCACCACAAAAAGGAAAAAGAAACAAAGATAAAGAAGAACCTGAAGGGAATTTAAGGGCTACTCAAAGTGCTGGAGGGATGGACAGGAAGACAAGATCAAGCACAAGAACAAATGCAAAAGCAAGAAAATAGTCTCAACAACAGTCACAGCACCAGTTCTTAAATCAATTCAGTAACTGAAATGTCAGGTTTTTAATGTGAATTGATTTGCACTTGGATTTTAAGCTCAGATTTTGTAAAGCAATCATTGAATTATGATGTTATGAAAAGATTTTCCTTACTGTATTTACAGGTAGGGTGTAGATTCTGGTTTTAATAGATTCAGGTGTAGTGGTTTCTGACCCATGGGATGCTTGTGCAAAACTGCAAACCTTAAATCTTTGTATACCAGTATTTATCCCCTTTTCTGTTGATCAGCAGCCAGGAAGCCATATTACTTTACTGCTAGTTTAATTGTAAGCTATTTTCTGCTTAGATTTTAATGTGCTTAAGTCTGATTTTTTCATGACAGTTCTGTAAATATTCCTGAAAAGAAGCTCTTTATGTATCAGCAGAATTCTGATGCTGAATTCTTAATAAGTTTAAAAAAAAACTTCATTGTATTGAAAAATGCAGATTTGTGGAAGTCATTAAATTTGTAAACAATTTGGGACTGGTGTGTTTTGTATTCTTGACAACAGTGAAGGTTGTGTCATTACTGTCCTTGTACAAGACAACCATGTATATGAGGCCCTCAGTGATAGGGTTTATTGGTGGTCTTTGCAGTGATGGTCATAAAGGTCTTTTCCAACTTGGTTGGTTCTGTGATTCTATTTCAAAGATTCATTCTCTCCAGCTCCATGGCATGGTTTTGAAGGTGGGTCTTCAGCACAGGCTCTTCTGTACACACAGCTGGATGCTGCAGCACTTCCATGTGTGAGCAAGCGCTGAGCTGAGGAGACACAGGACTGGTGAGTGTATGGGGTGGTGATGGGGGTCCTTTTTCTGAAGTTGCAATATTATTGTGAGTAACCAGTGTAATTTGGAGGTGAATTTTAGAGATGAGTGACTGCAGGGTAATAGTCTGTGTTTGTCTTTAAGGCCTGTGGCTTCCTGTTACTCTGTTAAGTGCAGAAAGGGAGGAAATTCATCTGGGGAGTTGAAGTTTTGTGCAGTTTAAAGACTACAATTACATTTTCATGTAGTCTAAGAGGAGTTACAGCGGTTTCTACAGAAGGGCAGTTGGATGCGATGTTTGGATGTTCTTGTCAGCTCTTCTATTGGGAGATCATAATGAATGTCCCTTTCTTCAGGTGAGTTCATGTTAGTGAGCCCTGTAGGCTCTCTTTAAAGCCCAAAACAGTCAGATTAAGGAAGCAGTGCACTGGATGCTGTATGATTCTGTGATTCTATGTGGTTTGATATTGAGATAAATCTTTTCAGTTGAGGTGGGTTTTTTGGAATGTGCTGTGTCCATATCCATAGTTCTTTTAAATGCTTTGTTCATTTTATCCTGTTATAATGCACTTTCTATACTTCAATTGTCATGTGTGTATTTAAATGTTAATATGCTAGTCATATTTTCAAGCTAGCTCTATTAATTCCTGCATGTGTTTGCTCTACCATATTTGCATGATTTCCACTGACCAGGACCAGTGATGGTCTATTTCTCCCAAGCCTTTTTCTGTGATTAGGGTCAGCAGTTGTTGGTGGTTATTGCTTTAGGATTGTGGATTGCTTTTTGCAGCTTTGATTTCAGCCTTCCAGATGTGAGCAACATCTCTACCCAAAATGTTTCATGGGTCTATGGCACAGGACTTGGGATCTCCCTAACTTTCAGGTCATGTGGCTTCATCTGTCTTGTCACAACTGAAGCAGTGCATTTCAGTGCACATTAGGAAGTTAAAAAACCCCTGCAGCACCCAAGTGCAGGCACTGCATGACTTTAAATCCTTAAGCTATGTTTGTATTTGAAAGTTGTGCTAAGTGAAAGATTAGTGTTTTTAGCACTGATGTATCATTTCTTACTCTTTTTTCCTAGTGTGTGACATTCTGTTGGGATGCCTGATGGAAAATAGGGTCATTGTCTACAGCAGAGAACAAAGGGAAGACTTATCAATGCACAGGAGTAAATGACAGTGTGCAGAGAACATGAACTGCTGAGCATGATATCAAGGTAAATGAGTTGGAGTACACTGCTGTGCTACACTTATGTATGTGCCACTGTACTAATCTGTGTATCTTATCTTGCAGAGGACATTTCTGTATGGAGTACTCCTTTTCCTTGACATTCAACTCCTCAAGAAATCATTTATGTCTTTTTGCTATTCTGTTCAGTATTTGATCCATCAGAACAAAGGTTTCTGCTCAGAACTTCTTGTTCCTGCTCAACTGTTGCTCAGCTTTCTTATTTAGATTTCACTGAGCCATAAAGTTTTTGCTGCTATGTGTCCTGATTTTATAAATACTGCAAGCTCTCCTCATTTGGACTGGGTAGAACTTGCTTTGAAATGTGGATGTAAAGAGGAAATACAGCAATGTTTTAACCTCTTGAGGCTGTTAATGTAAGGACACAGTTATATGAGAGAAGCAAGTGCCTAGAAGTGGCTTCACCTCTTTTCAGTCTCTAACATGATTCTGTAGTTATTCAGGACAGTATTTTCTGGCTTAAAGATAAATCAAAATCTTAAGGCAGAGGCTGAGACTGTTCTTCCAAAACAACAGAAAAGAGTGCTGAAAGCTATTGCTCCGTGAGAAAATGCTTCATTTTTAATTGCATAACGTGCAGCTGTTTCTTAAAATTTCAATGTCCCAGACCATCTTCTCTAATTTAGAAAGTGAGCACTGAGACAGAGAAGCTGTGGCTGCCCCATTTCTGGCTGTGTTCAAGGCCAGGTTGGACACGGTTTGGAGCACCCTGCTCTAGTGGAAGGTGTCCCTTCACTTTCCTACATACTCAGTATCTTATTCCTGTTCTTTTCAACAGAAATAGCGAACTATTCTGGTCTGACTGTTTTTTAAATGTGTTTAATCTCAATAGATGCTGTGTACTTTATTCCTGCTACAGGTCGATCAAAAGAATGGTCTTTTTGGATAATGTGTGATCATTGCAACATTATTCATTTATCAATCTCATACCCACCCTGAGCCTCAAACCCCTGAAATCCTTTGTTTTCTATGGTATGTAAAGTATGATTATCAAATCACATCTCTAATATAGATATTTTTCCAGTGTAGAAGGATGTTCAGATTCTGCCTTGCTAATGTATAGAGAACATTTCCTTCATGGTTTGTTAATTATTTATTCCCAGTTAGTTAAGTAATAGGCCAGAGGGAGGAAAGTTTAATTCCTGCCCCAGTTCTGCCTGGAAGTGTCCAGCAACCAGCAGCATTTCTCAAATCACACAGGAGCACCCTGCAAACCTCTGGGAGAAGTGCTAGAACCTGTGATCCAGATGAAGTGATGAGTTTATGAATCTTCAGAAGACCTCAGAGAATTGCTTTGAGTTGATGTGTATGTGACCTTAGGGAGAAAATAGTTAAATAAGGATTTACATTCCCATGTCAAGATCTCCTCCAGTGAAAGCAATGCTCAACATTAAATACAAATTTAGATGGAATTTGTATGTGGATTAGAATCTAAGCTATGAGTTATTTAAATCTTTTAGCTATTTTCTGGCTGAATGAAATGTAGCTGAATGAAATGCACTTTTTACAGTTAGTTCCGTTGCAAGTAAGTATTGCTTTGTTACTCCAGTTTACCTGTTTCTTAGGACACCGTGTAATTAATAATTGGTATATATTTAATATCTTTGTGGCAGTGAACTCATTTACTGCTCTTACCATAGTATTTCTTGGGATTGCAGATTAAGCATCAATAAAGAAGAACTTCTCCTTTTTTACAAGGAGACACATGGAAAAGATGAGGGGTGATGGGTACAAGTTACTTCTGGGGATATTCCAACTGGGCACAAGAGGAAACTTTCTCAGTGAGAACAACCAGCCACTGGAATAATCTCCCCAGGGAAGTGGTGGTTTCCCCAGCATTGGACACTGTTAAGATTCAGTTACACAGGGTGCTGGGATATCTAGTGTAGGTCATACTTTACCTAGAAAGGTTAGACCAGATGATCCTTGAAGTCCCTTTCCACCTGGGATTCTAGGATGCTGTGAACTGATGGTACCTCATTTGTGACTGAATGGTGATTCATGGACCTAGACTACAATACTCATCTCCTGGTTGCTAGTACTCCAGCACAGTGCTCAAGGATACTAAGAGGTAACACAGCATTGCTTCATGTATTTGCACAGGGCAGTTTGGGAGCTGGTAGTAGAAAACACTAGTTTTGGAGCATCATCTTCTAATGACAGATATTAGTTGTAGCATCTTAGTAATTCACATGGACAGAGAGAAGACGCCCTCATCTCATGACCCTCACAGTCTGTAATGGGAGAATATAAAACCTAGATTTTCTATAAGAAAGCACACAAAAATGATCTTGCAATTTGTTCTGAAGTATAGAGATGTGTCTCAAGGTAATAATTTCTCAAACACTTCACTGGAAATATGAATGTGGGGTTGTCATTCCATGTCTTGTGCCATTTATTGTCTCTTGAATTTCCACCTACACTCAGTTCCTTTCAGGAAACTACTGGAATTTCCAAAATATAGACCTTCTGTATGTTATAAATGCTACTTATGGCCACATAAGTATGCTACTAATGGCCACATATTTTTCCTTATTCAGGAAACTCAGTGCCTTGTTTAAAAGAAATCCTACAGAGCTGCAAAACATCTGACAAAGGAATTCCTCAACTATCACAGGTCTATTTCACTGTCTCTTTTAAATTTGCTTCTGGTAGGGTTTTTGCTTTTTCTAATAGACCTACTCTTGGTCATCCTGACAGAAGATGAAAGCAGCTGGGCGGATACAGAAATCAGGTAAAGCACTTGGGACTTTCTTTTCTATGCAACTTGTTGGGAACCAGAAAATGAACTCCGAATGGGTGGTGGGGTCCTTAGAGAATGCAAACTGCAATAGTTTCATCATGACAAAGTGGCTTCTGAAAAATGGGCTGTTATTCTAACTCTTATGACAAGTAAATATTTCAGGGAAAACCAAGGATCCCTGTGCAGAAAGTTAAACTACATTAAAAGAGTTCAGTGATGCTATAATGTTCCTACTTGATCTAAACTGTAAAATATTCTGGGAGGAGATATTTATAGCTATCAACTATCTCAACTTACCTTTGGCATGTGAGTTTACACTGTCATTTTCTACCCCATGAATGAGTTATAAGCGATTGCAGCAAAGATGCAGCCAAGTTTATTGTTGTACTGTTGGAAGAACAGGTTGTATTTCATTTAAAGAAACATTTGTATGATTTTTAAAGGGGGTAATGTGAATATTAAAGCTGGATTAAGGGCTGACCTCTAGTGTTGGAAGAGTTTTTGCAGTTCTTAAGATGAGGAGGGATCTTTGTGTCAGGCAGATGTTGCTGTAATGTGTCTGTCTGCCTTAAAGCAGTGCTGTCCCAGATAGTGCACTGCTTGTCCACCTACCTAGGATGTTTTGATTGTGAATTTTGAAAGAATTAAATTAAGTTTCTATATATGCCTCACTGCCTTTAGTTCTTTGATCCTAGAAAGCTTTTGCTTGATGATGGTAA